TGAAAATGTGAGGGGAAATTTGGTTTAGAGGTGAAAATGTGAGGGGAAAATCAGTTTTAGAGGTGAAAATCTGAGGGGAAAATTTGGTTTAGAGGTGAAAATGTGAGGGGAAGTTTTGGTTTTAGACGTGAAAATGTGAGGGAAAATTTGGTTTAGAGGTGAAAATGTGAGGGGGAAATTGGTTTAGACGTGAAAATGTGAGGGGAAAATTGGTTTTAGAGGTGAAAATGTGAGGGGAAATTTTGGTTTAGAGGTGAAAATCAGCTTAGAGGTGAAAATATGAGGGGAAAATCTGAGGGAAATTGTCAGTTTTAGAGGAGAAAATTGGAGGGAAAATCAGTTTAGATGTGAAAATGTGAAGGGAAAGTCAGTTTTAGAGGTGAAAATCTGAGGGAAATTGTCAGATTCAGAATCGAAAATCTGAGGGGGAATCAGTGTTAGAATGAAAATGTGAGGGAAAATCAGTTTTAGAAGTGAAAAAGTGAGGGAAAATCAGTTTTAGAAGCGAAAATATGAGGGAAAATCAGTTTTAGTGGTGAAAATGTGAAGGATTTTCTTTCTCTCCTCTCCCACTGCTGCATTGTCTGAGAGTAATCTCTGTCCCCACACAACAGAAATTCCCCAGATATGGTTGGGCCAGGGCTGCTTTGGGAGTTAAACACGGTTTAAGTTCTGTTTTGGTGCTGGAAAAGATAAATTTGGGGATCTTCCTTCAATCTTTGGCTTCCCAAAAGCAACAAAACTGTTGTTAAATTCAGATTGTTAAAATTATTAAATCTGGGGATAGTGAGCAAAGCACACTCGGGGAGTGAATCGCTCTGAAGTGCCCTGCTGGACAAGGTCATTTCCCAAAATTTATTTCATCCAAGATTTCATAAAACATTAGAATCCCTAGGAATTGGAATCCCTGGGAATTAGATCTCTAGGAATTAGATCCATAGGAATTCCAGAGTTGTTTTTGGGGTCACAGCCCCTCTGGGAGAGCAGCCCCAACTCCGGATTTCGCTTCTCCCAGCGACCACCACAAAATTCCCTTTTTAATTACAGGGAAAAAGGGGAAAAAAAACAATCTGGAAAATGAGGATTCACCTCGATGGGGTGGCTGTTGTCTAAGGCATCGAGCTCCTGGGCTCGGGTGTAGTCTGCAGACACGAACTGGGTCCAGATGTCGTACTCGGGGAAGCAGTGATCCACGCACAGGTACTCGATCCACGAGGCAAAGCCCTCGTTCAGCCACAGGTGAGTCCACCATTCCTGCAAGACACACAAAAAAACAGGGATAAAGGACAAAATCCCCTGGGAATATTCAATTAATTATTTTAACACAGTGCGCTGCTGTTTAAGGGCATCCAAACAACAGGTTTTGGGCAGGATGTAAAGAAAATTTGAATTTTCAAAAGGGATTTTGGAGGGTCTAGGTACCATAAACCACCATTTAAATAGTAAATTAATTATTTTATCACACTGTGCTGCTGTACAGGGGCATGCAAAGCCAGATTTTGGGCAGGATAGGAGGCAGATTGAAATAAAAAATGAGATTTTGGATGGTTTAGGTACCATAGCCCACCAATTAAATATTAAATTCATTATTTTATCACAGTGAGCTGCTGTTTAGGGGCATGCAAACCCAGATTTTGGGCAGGATAGGAGGCAGATTGAAAGAAAAAATGGGATTTTGAAGGGTCAGCTACCATAATCCACCAATTAAATATTAAATTNCTGGGAATTAGATCTCTAGGAATTAGATCCATAGGAATTCCAGAGTTGTTTTTGGGGTCACAGCCCCTCTGGGAGAGCAGCCCCAACTCCGGATTTCGCTTCTCCCAGCGACCACCACAAAATTCCCTTTTTAATTACAGGGAAAAAGGGGAAAAAAAACAATCTGGAAAATGAGGATTCACCTCGATGGGGTGGCTGTTGTCTAAGGCATCGAGCTCCTGGGCTCGGGTGTAGTCTGCAGACACGAACTGGGTCCAGATGTCGTACTCGGGGAAGCAGTGATCCACGCACAGGTACTCGATCCACGAGGCAAAGCCCTCGTTCAGCCACAGGTGAGTCCACCATTCCTGCAAGACACACAAAAAAACAGGGATAAAGGACAAAATCCCCTGGGAATATTCAATTAATTATTTTAACACAGTGCGCTGCTGTTTAAGGGCATCCAAACAACAGGTTTTGGGCAGGATGTAAAGAAAATTTGAATTTTCAAAAGGGATTTTGGAGGGTCTAGGTACCATAAACCACCATTTAAATAGTAAATTAATTATTTTATCACACTGTGCTGCTGTACAGGGGCATGCAAAGCCAGATTTTGGGCAGGATAGGAGGCAGATTGAAATAAAAAATGAGATTTTGGATGGTTTAGGTACCATAGCCCACCAATTAAATATTAAATTCATTATTTTATCACAGTGAGCTGCTGTTTAGGGGCATGCAAACCCAGATTTTGGGCAGGATAGGAGGCAGATTGAAAGAAAAAATGGGATTTTGAAGGGTCAGCTACCATAATCCACCAATTAAATATTAAATTCATTATTTTATCACAGTGTGCTGCTGTTTAGGGGCATACAAACCCAGATTTTGGGCAGGATAGGAGGCAGATTGAAAAAGAAAATGAGATTTTGGATGGTTTAGGTACCATAAACCACCATTTAAATATTAAATTAATTATTTTATCACTATGTGCTGCTGCTTAGGGGCATGCAAACCCAGATTTTGGGCAGGATAGGAGGCAGATTGAAATAAAATTGGGATTTTGAGGTACCATGGTGACGAGGTTTCCGAACCACTGGTGAGCCAGTTCGTGTCCCACCACCAGAGCCACCCACTGGCGGGACGAGGAGCAGGAATTTTTGGGGTCAATCAGCAAAGCAGTCTCCCTGTGGTGGAGAGAAAACCAAAATTCAGCAAGGATGGGGACAACCCCAGGAGGATTAAAAAAAAAACACAACCCAAAGGAGGTGAAATTACCTACGAGAGGAAAAAAAAACCAACAACAAAAAACCCAAAAAACCAACCCAAAATCTATTTCAGAGTAGCCTTGAAATTCTCAGGGTGAGTTCCGCAGCTGCTGGAATGCTTTGGAGCAGGAATTATTTTATGGTATGCAAGAAGTGGAAGAAAAAGAACCCAAGAAGAAGAAGGAAAAATTTGGTTTTTTTATTTATCAAAATGCTCCCCTTGGTCATTTTTTTGGAAGCTCAGCTTCCAAATCCTGCCCACCTCAGTGTTCCCAAAGGAATTCTGGCTTTTCCAAAAAGTGCCAGCAGCAATTTTTCCTCTGTGGCACCTCCCAGCCCTCTGGAATTCTGAAATTCCATGGAAAAACCTCCCCAAGGATGGTGCCTGCAGGTCCCCAAACGGGGCAGAGCAAACTCAGCACAAAAGAGCAAAAATTCACAGCTCCATCCCAAAAATTCTCCTCATCCAGGAGAAATATAT